TCCTTTTAGCTTTTAGCTACTGTTCTGTTCCTTTAAGCTTTTAGCTACTGTTCTGCTCCTTTTAGCTTTTAGCTACTGTTCTGTTCCTTTAAGCTTTTAGCTACTGTTCTGCTCCTTTTAGCTTTTAGCTACTGTTCTGTTCCTTTAAGCTTTTAGCTACTGTTCTGCTCCTTTTAGCTTTTAGCTACTGTTCTGTTCCTTTAAGCTTTTAGCTACCTTTCTGCTCCTTTTAACTTTTAGCTACTGTTCTGTTCCTTTAAGCTTTTAGCTATCTTTCTGCTACTTTAAGCTTTTAGCTACTGTTCTGCTCCTTTTAGCTTTTAGCTACTGTTCTGTTCCTTTAAGCTTTTAGCTATCTTTCTGCTACTTTAAGCTTTTAGCTACTGTTCTGCTCCTTTAAGCTTTTAGCTACCTTTCTGCTCCTTTAAGCTTTTAGCTACCTTTCTGCTCCTTTTAACTTTTAGCCACTGTTCTGTTCCTTTAAGCTTTTAGCTATCTTTCTGCTACTTTAAGCTTTTAGCTACTGTTCTGCTCCTTTAAGCTTTTAGCTACCATTCTGCTCCTTTTAGCTTTTAGCTACCGTTCTGCTCCTTTAAGCTTTTAGCTACCGTTCTGCTCCTTTAAGCTTTTAGCTACTGTTCTGCTCCTTTTAGCTTTTAGCTACCCTTCTGCTCCTTTTAAGCTTTTAGCTACCGTTCTGCTCCTTTTTAGCCTTTAGCTACCTTTATGCTTTTTAAGTTTTAGCTTTTCTTCCCCTTATTTAGCTTTAAGATTTTCTTTTTCTGCTTTTCTCTTTGAACTACTTTTTTTTTTTTTAGCTTTTGTCCTGCTCATTTGAACTTTTAGCAGGTACTTTCAGTATTTAACTTCTCTTCTGCTACCTTTAGCTTATAACAAAATTCTGGTCCTTTTTTTGCTGCATTTTCGCTGTTTTTATCTTTTTATTCTTTTCATCTCCTTTCGGCTTTGAATTACTTTTTTTAGCTGTTGTTCTGCTTCTGATGTTACAAAGAAAGAACCACATTTAAGCTTCTGAAGACGTTTGTGTGTTTGTGTTAGCTAGCCTTCTGCTCTTTTTAGCTACTGTTCTGCTCATGTACCCACATTTAAGCTTCTGAAGATGTTTGTGTGTCAACACAAGCTGCAGGAGTCTGGGTCTAGAGCAGCCGAAGTGTGAAAACGTGCTGCGGCGCCGCAGCAGAGCATCAGACGTGATGCTGGCAGCGTTCAGTCGTCCTGAAGAGAACAGAGGACTGTTGTTTCTGTCAGACGGGTCTGAACCGGACCAGTCAAGAACCAACCTGATCCACTTCAGGAGCTGCAGGGAATCAAGCCTTTCTGCTTTCATCAGCTTTCATGTTTTTCTGTAAAAACTCACAGAAGGAATGCACGTGGAAGTTTCAGCTGATTCAGCTGATCTGGTGTTTGTGTTCCAGGTGACCATCGAGGTTCTGGAGGACTCGCAGACRGAGACGGAGGTGGAGATGGACCTCGTCACGGAGAGCCAGAGGAACGACTGGTCGCTCTCATCCTACGAGTGGATCAGCAGCCACAAGAAGCTGTTCTGGCCGCTGTTCTGGGAGTACCCGGATCAGGCGGAGAACGGGCTGGGAGGAGGCCGGCCTGAGGACTACAGCTATGATCCGGAGGAACCGGTCCTGAGCGGAGTGGGGGGCGAGTGGGGACGACGCTGGGACAAAGAGTGGAGGACGGAGGACAACTTTGGTATGAGCACAACTTTATGAAATCTACACAGGTGTGCAAAAGCTTCACAGGAGAGTTTATTATCAGGGGGCGGAGCCAAGCAGGGGGCAGGTCTCACCTGGCCCACATAAAACCACCAGATTCCTCAGCAAAGGTTCTTCATGCTTCAGATCTTTATTATGAAGCTGAAACGCTTCGAGAAAACTGAAAACGATAATAAAAACTAAAATGAGTCAAAAAGAAGCTAAAAGCTACAATCCTCAAAACAAAACCTAAACTGAAGCTAAAAGCTAAAACCAGCCAAATGTTAGCTAAGAGATTAAACCATCAGAATAGCAAGCAGCTTCAAATCTAAATCCAGCAAAACAGTAGCTAAATGCTAAAAAGATAAGAAGAGCTACTATTAACAACCAACATAACGAAAGGTAAAAGCAAAAATTAGCAAAAACAGATAAAAGCTAAAACCAGCAAAACTGTAGCTAAAAGAAAAAAATATCTGATTTAAAACTAAATTCATCAAAACAGTAGCTAAATGCTAAAAAGACCAGAAGAGTAGCTACTGCGTATAAACAGCAGAACAATAGGTAAACGCTAAAGTTAGCAAAAACAGATAAAAGCTTGAACCAGCCAAATTGTAGCCTGGTAAAAACCAGACCTTTGTCCTTCACTTTGCTTCATACGAGGGTCTGAACTCGCTGCTACAGAGAAGCGATTCTTGCTGGAGGCGTGGCCTCTGCTGAAGTGTGTGTATGTTGCTGTGAAGGAGGCTAAGCTAAGAAGCTAACCGAAAATCATGTGTGCTGTAAACAACCCTACTGAGAGGAGAAAAGTACCGAGCCGAACGAGACGGCTGTAAATGAGAGCTGCTGCTTTGTCAGACAAATTTAWTTTAATTTGGAAGCCTTATCAACACGGACTGGCTTCATTCACTTCCTCCACTGCCGTTGCTAACTGACTAGCCGACCCCGCAGAAAATCGACATTTTGTTCTCTGATTGGTTCGGCTAAAAACCTGCCAGCGAAATCCCTGTCTACAGGAGACATCCCAGACGGAGCAGTGAAGGGAAACTAGAATTGAGCGGAACTGCGT